AACTATTAATTAAGTTGCTTTTTATGGCATCAGTGATAAACTGCCCCTAAAAAGTCCACTTTATTGCGTGCTCATTGAGTTACTCCTATCAAAGCTATTTAACAAGTTCAAATTACACATACTCATTGATCTGTCACGCTTATTAGTGGCTCATGGTTGCTTAAAGCCTATGTCTGACTTGGCCACAGAGTTAGAGCATCATTCGATCCTTTTAGGATGACCACTCCATTTACTCTGCATCCAGACAGCTCATGAATTAACAACACTTCCAGACTGTAACCCTTTTTATTAACATTACCCTTTTATTTCTTGTATATACCTTCAAATCCACCTTAAATCTTCTTACCTAAATGTTGGTTTTAAACACAAACAATTCTTATATTCTACTTAGAAACGCCGTCACCATTCATATATTTACAATCATCATTCAACCTCCATTTACAATGTTATTGTATACTAAGCCAGCATTTTAATCGCAGACATTTATCCACATTTGCAAACAATACTTATACAGCTGAATAACACACGAAACCGAAAGCATAATCCTCTCATGCGCTCCGCATCAGCTGCCTCATTTGCATGCACACACACACCATCTAAAAATAGCAGCAGACAGTCAGTGCATTACTGACTCGACACCCAGAGATCTCTTTTTTTTTTTTTTTTTTTTTATTACAGAGACGTCTTATATTTACAACTGCACAGATTTTAAGCCTTTTAACACCTATCGAATTTCGACAAATTTAACATAACAGTCCAACCGATAAACTCCCTGAGTTTTTTGCGACCAATTAACCAGTATCTGTCCAACAGTTTCTGGCCTCATCTCTAAAATCCCTAACTCAATTTAAAAGTGTCCAACACCCAAGGTCCAACCTTTGCTGCCCAAAAAAGCGCAGATTACCGTTCCAAACGGTAAGGAGACTCTAACTCCTAGCTTAATTCCAGGATGCCCTGTACCCCACAGTTAAGCCACACTGAACTATCCCTCTTCGCCGAGAGGTCAATGTCGCGCGTCCACGACAAGGAGGGAGCGTAACCTCCGGGCTCTGCGCTTCCTAGAACCCCCACGGTTCCGTTCTAAAATAATTTATAATACTTTGAAACAACAATCAACACCCAAAACAAGTGTATAACTGAAGCAGGTGCAACCTAGTGGTCAATGGAGACTCCAACTCACAAAATGACCGCTCAGGTCCACTCTTATGACCAAATTTGGACTCTAACCAACAAAATGACCAATTCCCTACCAACTACTTGAGACTCTAACTCAATTTCTTTGGGACTTCAACCCAGTATTTAAACTTTTCTTATCAGACTCTTAACTGCTTCAACTCATACGATTTTCATCAAAATCAAAACAGACATGCACCAGTAATTTCAGTGAGCGGACTTTTAATTTTCACAGTCCAATTTGACACACTTTGGAAATAATTCAACAGGTAGCGTCTTACCTTTTTAAATATGATGCGCCGGCGTGCGTCCACTCACTTTTGACCACTGGCCAAGTCTGCCCGTCTGACCACCTCGGACCACCGTTCACACCTCCACTTTTCCTCCTCCTCAACTACCGGACGAAGCCCCCAAAAATATTAAGGTTCAAAAATTGAGGAAGGGTACAAGAGGTGATCGAAGAATAACCACACTGATCCGGCCGGGTGAAGTCAAACAATGATTTTAATTCACGCGTGGGAAGATCACTAGAAACAACAATTGATCTTCAACTTAATCAAAGCATAAACAGATATTTTATACCATCAGGGCTTAAATTTACTGACGCCCCTTCAACGTCACAGATACATTTTATACATAGATCAAAACCACAATGACTTTTGACACCGTTTAAAAGAACAATTGTCTTCTATCTTCATAACAGGTGCTTCCTGTCACTGCCGGATGCTCGCTTGTCATCCTGACACCTCAGCAGCAGTTCTGCGACAAACTGCTCTTTTGCAACCCCAAGCAAAACATGATTAAACTTTCACCTATAAATGATTCTCTCTAACTGAGTGTGTGTGTGTCTGTGTGCTAACCACAATTGCACCCTGTTTCACCTCGCCGACTAGCTCCTGACCCCTAACCAGACAGAGAGACAGAAACCACTCTCGTATATGTAATAATCGAACTGAAACTATGGATATGTCATCTACTTAAAATAAATGTTTTAATCAAGAACCCCTACTAAAAGCTTAATACAAGAATATGAACATATAAAAGATATTAAAATGAACTGTTGTGTAAGCATGTACTGCAATTCCTTCTATGTTCTAGTTTTCCCTCAACATGGATCATCTGAACAGTCACGTCAGTGAAGCTTCAAACCTTTAAAGAACCTGAACATCAACTCAAATAAGCACAGATATGCATTGTGTATAAAATAGTTATAACTGTACCTGGAATACAAAGTTAACATCGTCATAAACATCTTAAGGCCATCTTAAAGCTATCTGTTACATTGTTAAAGCAATGATCATACTGCAGATTATATTATGCTGGTAAAATACTTTTTGTTCATCCCCACAGTGGACAGGAACACATGTGACATCACTTCCTGTTTGTTTGTGACTGAAGAAGTTTACAAGGAATCATTTAGAAGAGTTTCAAACATCAACTGATTGAATCCATGAATCTGAAAACGTGTTTGTGAGTGAAAGAGACAGACATGTACAGACTGAACTATCTGTTCAACAGTCAGAGTGTTTCTCTAACAGGAGACACTCTTTACACTCCACTCAGCACAGGGACACTGAGCCACCACGAGACCAGGGACTGAACCCAGGATAAAGAGTTTGAGTGAATGTGGTGTTGAAGGTGTGGAGGTGGATCAGAGTGTCAGAGGAGACTCTGTAGAAGGACAGAGTGCCAGCAGGACAGTCCACATACACTGCTGCTCTGTTAGAGACAGAGGAGGAGGAGGAGGAGGAGGAGGAGGAGGAGGAGGAGATGGATGTTGTTATCTTATTGTGCCAGACAGAATCAGGACCATCATCAGAGCAGATCAGACTCCAGGACTGATCATTCCATCCAAACACACAGTCTCTGACTCCTTTCCTTCTGATGCTTCTGTAACTCACTGATATAAAAACTCTTCCTCTCCACTCGACCTCCCAGTAACAGCGACCAGTCAGACCATTTCTACACAGCAGCTGATCATCATCAAATCTGTCTGGATGATCAGGATATGACTGAACCTCCCACACATGTGTCACCTTCCTGTTGTTGTCAGACAGTTGGAGCTTTGTGTTCACTGTGTTTGTGTCGATTGTGAGTTGACAGGAATCTGATGGAGAGAACAAACACAATCCAGCTGCAGTTATTGATCCATCATCTGTTCATTGATTGACACTTTGATGATGACTCCTGACATGATGAAGATGGTTGAATGTGTGCTGCTTTGTTTTCATGAATCCCATTAAAAACACACTTACACTTCCTCAGACCTGGTCTCAACCATCGGACTCCAGCAGGCTCCACCCTGAAAGGAGGAGGGGGTCAGAGCAGCACAGTCAGCATGCACACATGGACATTACATGGCTCTCACACACACACTGTTACACACTGAGCTCAAAGCTCGGCTCCACTGTTTTATTCAAAGAAATCTACATTTATTTATCAGCACATTTAAAAACAGCTTGAGCCAAAGTGCTGCACAGAGTAGAGAGAAAATAGGAAACATACACAGTAATGACTATAAAGACTGGTCAGGATTGAAAGCTACAGAGTACAAATGTGTTTCCAACCGGCTTTTAAAAATGTCCAGTGTTGGTGACGACCTGATGTGAAGGGCGACTGTTCCAGAGTTTGGCTGCAGCCATCGATAAAGCTCACCTCTGTTTTTACGTCTAGTTCTGGTCAGAAGCTGCTTATCTGCAGACCTGAGGGCTCCACTTGGATTCTTTGTTAAAGAGAGATAAGATGGAGCCAATCCATTCACAGATTTAAAGACAACCAGATCTGGAAGTGGATTCTACCACGTACTGGTAACCAGTGGAAAAAGCTGGTGATGGGTCGTCTAGCACAGACCCACCGCTGGAACCAGACAATTGATGAGGGAGAGAACTGTGACAGCACCGTTCCTTCACTTGACCTCAGTCGCTCTCGTCTGCTCCCTCGTAACACTGCTCTTTATTGAGCTTACATGAATATGCACAAGTTCATTATGACGTCTTACACAGGTATGAACAAAGAGTACCAGTCTGTGCATAGTGTAGGTGTGTGTTCCAGATGTGACCCTGTGACCCCAAAGCTGGTGCTAAGAGTCCAGCGGTCCCCCTAACAAAGGCCTCTTATACTTATCCAGACACAGAGTAGGTGTCCTCCTACACCATAAATCAGCAAGAGAAGGTATGACCTCTCTCATGACCTTAAGGTGTGTGTGCATGCCAGAGTGCTCTGGAAGGCACCCAGAGTCTTCACAGACTACTGAGGATCGAACTTCTATCATTATGCAATCGATTATAAAACTCTAAGCATAGGGTGGCTGTGGCTCAGGTGGTAGAGCAGGTCATCTACTGATCAGAAGGTTGGTGGTTCGATTCCCAGCTTCCCCTAGTCTGCATGCCAAATATCTTTGGGCAAGATACTAACCCGAAACTTTTCACTTCCCTTTTAACAATGTTTGCAGCTAGTTCTAAGTTGGCTGATGCTAGCAGCTAAAGCTAATTTGATGTGAATTAGCGTTATATTAGTGAGGAATTAATGCTTAGTAGAATGCCATTAGTGGCTAATGCTAATTTTAGGTGAATAGGAATTGCCAGCTACTGCTAAGTAGGTTGGAGGCCGCAGGAAACAAACAGGAAGTCAGTGAAGGACACAGGAAATGTTTCCATCTCTTCCTCCTCTATTAGACATTCTCTCCATACCTGAGAGTGTCCAGTCTCCAGCCTGGATCCTTTAGTCCAGCCGACAGCAGCTTAATCCCTGACTCACCTGGATGATTGTAGCGCAGGTCCAGCTCTCTCAGGTGGGATGGGTTGGAGCTCAGAGCTGAGGCCAGAGAAGTACAGCCTTCCCCTGTGATCAGACAGCCTGACAGACTGCAGACACACAAAACAACAATCCATCTGTCAACAATCATTTTCTCTTTGTCACAATAACATCTATCAATTTACATCCATTCAATGTAACTTTATGTATAAGTGACAATTCCCAACAGACGCCAGCAGTCATCTCAAGCTGTTTAGCAGGCGGGGGTTTACGACACCAACTCTCTGCCATCTATAATCCAGTTTTGAGATCCCTTCCCAGACGCCTGAACGTCCACTCACATCCTGGGCCATCTGATCTCAGGAAATCACATGATAGGGTGGGGCCAGGTTTCACAATGAACACACCCGAAACTGGCTGATTGGGTCCCACACCCAGTTTCACACCTTGGCTCAGGTGATTAGAGGATCATCAGGGGGAGGGCGTTTCTCCAAAACATGTGTCCATCAGAATTATGGACAGTCGTGTATAATAAGTAGACTTGTTCAGATTTGTCCAACACTTTTGTCTGTCAGTGTTTTACAGAATATCATCAAAGAGTCATGATAGTTACCATTAGTGTCACTGTGGAGATGCTTATTCCAGCATCACTGACTTCATGGTTCCAGTTTCCATCACTAAGGACTACATGTACTGATGCTGCTGTTAGCCATCTTAGCATGCTACCTCCAACAGGTGGTCAGTGGGAGAGCAGAAGATGATATCAGTGACATCCAAACAAGGAAGGAAGAGACTGTTGAAGGCAGCGAGCTGTGACTGCTGTGAACAGCACACTATTCTTTCCCTGTGTCAACATACATGAGGCTGTTTCAGCTGCTTAGTTATTCAGTGCAACACACCACGAACTCCTTTATACAACTAAGTATACTGAGAGCACACTGCTGTGGTTGCTGTGGGAACCATCCATATATTCAGCTGTTTGGGGCTGAGTCTGCTTCCTCATCCTTGGAAAAAACTCTTAAAGTTTGATGTGTTTTTGACTTGAATTGTGGGGATTATATCATTTCTATATTGTGTTTATTTTTATATCCTGTTATTAAGCTTTGAGCAGTGGCATTTGATTAAATATTTATTCCATTTATTAAACATACAGTTTCAATCATGTTATTACATCTATGGGAAAATGTGCTTACAAAGGAGTTGGCCTTCTGTCTGGTAGGAGGTTACAAGCTTTATCTGGTGAGGTAAGAGGTGAGACAGAATGCAGTGAGGTCGTGACAGCTCGCTTGCGTACACAGACATTATATAGACACATTTCTAGGTTAGAGTTAAGACGTATTTTTCTTGTAAATGCATTTTGTGCCTGCATAAGCAACAGTTTTTTGTAGGATGTACTTCTGATGTTCCAGAGATAAGTGAGAATAAGAAGATCGACAGGAAGCACCTGGCGTGGAGACGGAGAAAATGTCTTTTTGAGTGTGCGTCAAAGGTCGTCAGCAGAAAAGCTGTGGTTACTGTAACTTATGCATGTTATGTATCTGCTTTGATACATGAGATATAAAAACATGAGATATAAAAACATTTTAAGTATGCTTTTTGGGGGGATTTATGCTGAGGATTGTGACGGTGTATTTCCTCCACACGTGCGTTTAATAAAATCATTGTTTTGACACACTTGGACCTGTGGTCATTTGTCATTTCACGAATTCAGGACAGATGTGTGCCAAAATTGGCCTTTCTGTACAACTTCGACATATTAATTTATTAACAGTACTGTTATTTTTCACTGTTTCACTTTAGAAACATAAATCTTTACACAGACAGTGTTGGGGAGTAACGAAATACATTACATACATTACATATTGAAAATACAAAATATAAGTATCTATATTCAGTTACTGTTAGAGTTAAATTGTTAAATGTTTGTCATTTTTATGTTTACCATTTGTACAGTGTTTTAACTCTGATGAAAGGAATTCCACTGTCCTTCCCCCCAGATTCTCGAGGTTCTGGTGTGTGTATGTGTGTGTGTGTGTGTGGGGGGGGGGGGGGGGGGGGTGAAATGTTTTATTGCAGATACATCTTATCTGGAAGATCTGCTTCTTTTAATGTAAGCTTCCTGGGTTTACGACCCTTTGGTCAGCAGGAGGTCTGACTGACACACACACACACACACACACACACACACACACACACACACACACACATTCTCACATAACACACACACACACACACACACTCTCACATAACACACACACACACACACACACACACACCTTGTCTTAGGACCATGTGGGCGTGGCTTTGTTCTGACGTGTTTTGTGTGAATTGTGTCTCAATAAAAGGTAGCAGGAGGAGGTCAGATCTGGGGGTCATTTTCGTGGTGGACACAGACGAGGCCTCCCTTGCTCAAATAATCGATTGATCGACTGTCTTATTTTCTTCATGATGAATAAGTCTCTAGAATTAGCGGGGCTTGTGGAAACACAGACCCAACAGTTACTGTTTAAAAAGGTGGTATTCAGAATACAGTTACTTTGTTGAAATAAATGGATTACACAGTGATCTTTTCCTGTTTCATATGTTAGGCTATGTCCTCTCTATTTTTGGTTATTTTATTTTTAGATACCACACACACACACACACACACACACACACACACACACACACAAACACACACACACACGCTCCATGTTCTTCCTGCTCTGTTTTCCAGTATGTGATAGAAATATGCCAGCATTAGACAGCATCACTTTCTCTGGGACCTAATCCCTGCCTCACTGAAAGCTGTTTATATAATTACCCATTCTCTCTAAAAGATGGGATGAGGGAGCCCTGTGCCTCTGTGCATGAAAAAGTCTGCATGCGTGTGACAGAGTGAATGAGAGTCACTTGGCTTAAACAGATGAGTTAAGTATATGGAATCAAACAAAAAGACAATCAGCACTGGGACCAAAGTTAATGGTATTTTGTACCACTGGGTATCTAAATTTAGTAATTACACGCCAAAGCCCACTGATCAATGACCATGAGTACCATTCACAGAGAGTTGGGGAATGGCTGCTTTAACAGCACTGTAAGATGGCGAAGGATGTACCAAAAAGTCACAGGAGCTTGCAAAGAAAAGCGTCTGGACTTCTTTAAGTTGCTTGAAGACGTTTCACCTCTCATCCGAGAAGCTTCTTCAGTTCTAAGGTCAAATGGTGGAGAGTCCCAGATATAAACCTAGTGGGAGTGACCCCCCACAGAGGGACAAAAGGACCCCCTGATGATCCTCTAATTGCCTGAGCCAAGCTGTGAAACTGGGTGTGGGTCCCAATCAGCCAGGGAGAGGAGATGAGAGGTGAAACTTCTTCAAGCAACTTAAAGAAGTCCAGACGCTTTTCTTTGCAAGCTCCTTTGACTACGATGACCTGGATGACTGAGAACCTTCACAGACAGGTTCTCAGTCAAGGGGTTTGACTTTACTGAGAAGGCTTGCAGTTCCTGTGGCTGTGATCAGCTCCACTAGCGGGATTTGTCTCGGTGTGACAGCAAAATTCAACCCTTTAGCAAGGATGTTTTTCTCTGTTTGGGTGAACTGTCTGTCAGACAGATTCTTCACCCACTTGTCCACATCCTCGGTATCACATCCTTCTCTCTTCTAGCCACTGAGGACACTCTCCGTATTTTGCGGTGGTTTCCGACGTACAACAAGTAAGTCAAACTTCCTTTGTTGCCTGGTCTTAGACTTCTTGTGCTGTGCTAGACGAGCCTTCTCAGTAAAGTCAAACACCTTTTTGGTACATCTTTCGCCATCTTACAATGCTGTGATTGCAGCCATTCCCCAACTCTGAATGGTACTCATGGCCATTGATCAGTGGGCTTTGATCAGTGGGTTTTGGTCAGTGGTTGTTGATCAATGGTAATGAGAATTTGCATAATTAAGATTAAGGAACTGACCTCCCAGCCCATTGTTTCTGCAGTGAGCTGGTTTCAGTCATTATGCAAATGTACTGTTTATAAGATTGAAACCTGCAGTCAGCTGAGACTGAAGAAGTCACTTGGATGAGTGATGAAAAGTGGCCACTTGTTTGTCAAAGGCAATAAATAAAAGAACCCAGCTTTTAAAGAGGAAGTAACCATTGGTACCATGTCCAGAGGCTCTAACAGGACCAATACCCTATGAAGGTGCTGGGAATGGAGAAAAAGCACTGTCACAATGCAAGTGACATATCCCACTGTCATTGAGACGGGTTAGAGTAGTGGTGTCAAACTCCAAGCCTCGAGGGCCAGTATCCTGCAGGTTTTGGATCCCAACCTGTGTCAACACACCTGAATCAAATGATTAGTTCATTACCAGGCCTCTGGAGAACTTCAAGACATGTGGAAGAGGTAATTTGGCGATTTAAATCAGCTGTGTTGGATCAAGGACACATCTAAAACCTGCAGGACACTGGCCCTCAAGGCCTGCAGTTTGACACCCCTGGGTTAGAAGGACAGCCACATGAAGAGCCACAGAGGTAAAAGCGGCAAAGAGCAGACCCAGACTTCCCTTGTCCCATTGGCAGTTATCAACAGGGTTGTCTGCCTCACCAGTCCTGGGCTAGTGTGGAGGGACCGAGTGGACTTAAAGAAAAGCTGCTCATGCTTCTTCAGGGCAAGAGAGGCTGGGCAGGAATCACCTTTAGTGTGATGTTGCTAGCTCATCACTGCAGAAAAAAGTTTCTCATAGATGCATTTTCAATGTTTATAATGTAGTAGGAAAAAAAGGTCATGTATCGTTACAGCTAATGTATGAAACATTGAGTGAAAGGAAGATTATACATTTAACGTGAATATTTGATTTGTGAAGTAATGAGTATAAATATACACTGCCCTGTGATGGACTGGTAGGCTGTTCAAGGTATACCCGAACTCCAACTTTATAACATCACGGAGGGGGTCTCTGCCTGAGTGCTGCAATTACCACTGGGACCACTGTTGCCTTCACCCTTCACAACCTCTTGAGCTCAAAACATGTTCCACATTGCTTTGATTACTGCACTTTGATGTATTCAAGTCTTTATTATAATTCATAGCATCCATCCATTCAGGCACCCATTTTTCTAACCACTTATCTACGGCAGCAACAAGAGCTCCTAAACTGAGTGTGTGGCTCCAGCAGGTTCCTGATAATTCCATTTGTGAGGATAATATGAAGTGACAGTTCAGCTGAAAGTTCTATTAATAAGTCAATCAATAATATAATTCACATTTTAAATGATCATATGTGGAAAAGTTTGAATCCTAACCTGAGAGTTTCCACTGCACTCTGTGAACTCTTTAGTCCAGCAGACAGAAGCTTCACTCCTGAATCCTGCAGGTCAGAGTTACTCAGGTCCAGCTCTCTCAGACTAGAGGACTGGGAGCTGAGAACTGAGGACAAAGCTTCACAGCTTGTCTCTGAGAGATTACAACCAGTCAGTCTAAAAAAATAAAAGACAAACTATAAAACAAATACTCATGTAAAGTTTGTTATTATATTACTACATTACATGTGGCATCTTTTTTTATTTTTAAAGGAAACCTTAATATTCTAAGACACAACATCATATGGATGAACATGGACAAAATCTTTAATTGGTTCGTTTTAAAGAAAATAAAATGACATTTGATCTGACCTCAGAGCATTCAGTTTACAGTTTAAACTTTGTACTCCAGCAGACAAAAGCTTTACTCCTGAATCCTGCAGGTTTTTGATGGTCAGGTCCAGCTCTGTCAGACTAGAGGACTCAGAGCTGAGAACTGAGGACAGAGCTTCACAGATTTTCTCTGAGAGTTCACAGATGTTGAGTCTGAAAATAAAAACATTAAGAAAGACTGCTGTTAAAGTGTAATCAAGGTGTAATAACTAATCCTGTTTGTTTTGTGCTGAGTAGGTTAGTAAAAGTTCACTTTAACATAGAAATGAATAAAAATTGTACAAAACAACAATAAATGGTAAGGTTTACCTTTACTGGCTAAATTTTCTCACTTGATAAAAACAAAAAACAAACATATAAACAAACAAAAGAGAATACAAATTCTGATCTGACCTCAGGATATTCAGTTTGGTGTGTGGACTCTCCACTGCAGCAGACAGAAGCTTTACAGCTGAATCATTGAGGCTGTTGGTACTCAGGTCCAGCTCTCTCAGACTACAGGACTGGGAGCTGATGACTGACAACAAATCTTCACAGCTTTTCTCTGAGAGGTTACAGCTGCTCAGCCTGCAAAAAACAACAAGAACGAGAACAACAAAACAATATCTATTATCAAATATAATCACTTTATATGATGAACCTAGGTAATCAAATGAGTACAAATGAGTACACTACAATGCAAAATTAAATTAAAAAAATGTTCAAGAGAAAAAGATTTCATTTTAAACACAATTATACCATCCATCCATTCGCTTCCGCTTATCCTTTTCAGGGTCGCGGGGGCGCTGGGGCCTATCCCAGCTGTCATAGGGCGAAAGGCGGTGTACACCCTGGACAGGTCGCCAGTCTGTCGCAGGGCCAACACACAGGGACAGACAACCATTCGCACTCACATTCATACCTAGTGGCAATTTGGATTATCCAATTAACCTATCCCCACAAGCTGCATGTCTTTGGACGGTGGGAGGAAGCCGGAGGACCCGGAGAGAACCCATGCAAACACGGGGAGAACATGCAAACTCCACACAGAAAGACCCCGGCCTGATGGTGGAATTGAACTCAGGACCTTCTTGCTGTGCGGCAACAGTGCTAACCACCGTGCCGCCTCACAATTATACCAGTGTATCTAAATGGAAACCAGAGAAGAGCGGGTAGATTTAGTGACACTAGTTCAGTGTCTGCTGGCTCAGGCCTGTGAGTACTACAGTACTACAGTTACTACAGTACTAAACTTACTACAGTACTGTTGGTCACTTTATTAATTCTAATATCTGTGATTACAGTAAATGTGGTTGTAAATAATTGCTCACATGATGAACTTGGTGCAGACTCTTGTTTTTTTTTTTTTGTCAAAAACAAGCTGCCTTTTAAAGTCCTGCCCTCCCTAAATACCAACGTGTTTTCGATTGGACAATTTCAGTTACTGACAAGAAACAGGACATTGACGGCAATTTTAATTATGATGCCCAAGGTTTTTCCTCTATACTGGATATAATCAGGACAGCCATAGCAGAGAATTATATAAAAAAATGAGTGTGTACTTAAGGTGAGACAGAAACCAGAACTTGGATTATAAACATCAAGAAAAGATACAATCTTGTAACTGGTGGCAGATTTCTTTTCTCGTGCATTAATCACATATTTTAATCATATCTCTTTTGTTTAGCAAGATGACTCCTGACACCAGTTGTATGCATGTAGAATGTTTTCACAATTGGGCCTTAGGTTTTATTGCATCTTCACAGACGGTCCACTTGAGACTTGAAGATCTCCAGACATCCTGCTCTTAATGAGGTGATGGGTGGTCGTAACTTTTGTTAGAGTAGGAGGGGGTAAAGAATGAGCTGGACTGAAGGTATAGAGATTTATGATATGCTATGGAATGTTCTTTGTTTAAGAGTGTTTGGGCAGATATAAAATATTTCAGGGTGGTGTGCCTCCTCAGAAAAATGTTTGGTGTTTGATCTGAACGTTCTCTCCACTGCAGTGTTTTTCATCTTTCTTTCTTTTAATAAACCTCACTTCAAAAGACACGCTTAGCTGGTAGTTGCAGTTTTATTTAAGAGTTTCCACAACATAACTGAGGTATATGGTTTAGAAAAAAAGAACTAAGTGAGCAAGCTGAGGATAATGAACCCATAAGAGGGGCTGAAGGATCAGAGCCCATAGTCTTATAGGCTGGATTGTCCTTTGATAAGAGCTACAGACAAAAATCTCTCAGAAATGCTGACGGGTCCGGCTGGACTGAAACATTAAAGGTATCATAGTTGACCAAGTGAGTGATGATCATTTAATTCCCTATTTTTATGTATTTTTAAGTGTTCTCTGAACTGATCATGCCTGATTTAATATTACTTACAGAGCCTTGTTGGAGGCTTTGACCACTGGCAGCAGCCTCAGAAGAGCCTCCTCTGAAGCAGAGTATTTCTTCAGGTCAAACACATCCAGATCTTTTTCTGATGACAGTAAGATGAAGACTAGAGCTGACCACTGAGCAGGAGACAGTTTTTCTGTGGAAAGTCGTCCTGATCTCAGGGACTGTTGGATCTCTTCCACCAGAGAATGATCATTCAGTTCATTCAGACAGTGGAACAGATTGATGCTTTTCTCTGCAGACAGATTCTCACTGAGCTTCTTCTTGATGTACTGGACTGTTTTCTGATTGGTCTGTGAGCTACTTCCTGTCTTTGTCAGCAGACCTCGTAGAACATTGTGATTGCTGTTTAGTGAAAGACCTAGAAGGAAGCGGAGGAACAAGTCCAGGTGTCCATTTGGACTCTGTAAGGCCTTGTTCACAGCACTCTGGTAGAAGTGTTTCTCTGCAGGTTCTCTTGCTTCAGAGTTCTTGGAGATTGTTTGTTGTTCTTCTACCAGATTAACTCCAGAGTTGATGAAGGTCAGATGGACATGAAGAGCAGCCAGAAACTCCTGAACACTCAGATGGATGAAGCAGAACACCTTGTCCTGGTTCAGTCCTCTCTCCTCTTTAAAGATCTGTGTGAACACTCCTGAGTACACTGAGGCTGCTCTGATATCGATGCCACACTCTCTCAGGTCTGATTTATAGAAGATCAGGTTTCCTTTCTGCAGCTGATCAAAAGCCAGTTTTCCCAGAGACTCAATCATCTTCTTGCTCTCTGGACTCCAGTGTGGATCTGTCTCATCTCCTCCATCATACTTTATCTTCTTTCTTTTGGCCTGAACCACCAGGAAGTGGATGTACATCTCAGTCAGGGTCGTTGGCAGCTGTCCTCCCTCTCTGGTTTTCAGCACATCCTCCAGAACTGTAGCAGTGATCCAGCAGAAGACTGGGATGTGACACATGATGTGGAGGCTTCGTGATGTCTTGATGTGGGAGATGATGCTGCTGGCCTGCTCCTCATCTCTGAATCTCTTCCTGAAGTACTCCTCCTTCTGTGGGTCAGTGAACCCTCTGACCTCTGTCACCATGCCAACACAGTCAGGAGGGATCTCATTGGCTACTGCAGGTCGTGTGGTTATCCAGAGGCAAGCAGAGGGAAGCAGTTTCCCCCTGATGAGGTTTATCAGCAGCACATCCACTGAGGTGGACTTTCTAGGGTCAGTTAGGATTTTAGTTTTGTGGAAGTCCAGAGGAAGTCGACACTCATCCAGACCATCAAAGATGAACACAACCTGGAAGTCTTCAAAGCTGCAGATTTCTGCTTCTTTGGTTTCAGTAAAGAAGTGATGAACAAGTCCCACCAAGCTGAACTTTTCCTCTTTCAGCACATTCAGCTCTCTGAAAGTGAATGGAAATATGAACTGGATGTCCTGGTTGGCTTTGTCTTCAGCCCAGTCCAGGCTGTATTTCTGTGTTAAGACTGTTTTCCCAATGCCAGCCACTCCCTTTGTCAGCACTGTTCTGATTGGTTCATCTCTTCCAGGTGAGGCTTTAAAGATGTCTTCTTGTCTGATTGTTGTTTCTGGTCTGTGTGGTTTCCTGGAGGCTGTTTCAATCTGTCTGACTTCATGTTCATTATTGACCTCTGCAGTCCCTCCCTCTGTGATGTAGAGCTCTGTGTAGATCTGATTCAGAAGGGTTGGGTTTCCTGCTTTAGCGATGCCCTCAAACACACACTGGAACTTCTTCTTCAGTTCTAACTTGAAGTTAATCTGACACTCAAGAACCTCTGAAATAATAAACAAAAGTGGTTAACATGTCAGTATCAATGCCTGGGCAGAAACAGTCAAAACATTACCTGACCAAAAGGGTCCCTACATAGAAGCTACAGATAAAGTGTATCCACAGCCTTTCACTTATTTCACATTTTGTCATGCATTCCTTCAAAATGTGGTAAATTCACTTCTCAGGTCAATTTTTAAAAAAATAAAATACCACATAATGACAATGTAAGACACGCATGCTTGGAATTCTTGTTAATGTATTAAAAACTAATAAAATGTTGCCATACATAATAATTCATAATTCTTTGTGGAAGTACATCTGGCAGCAATTAGAGCTCCAAGTCTTTTTGATTATAATGCTTAAAGCTTGGTCAACCTAATTTTACGCAGTTTCTTTCATTCTTCTTTGCAGAACTGGGTCGGTGTCACACTCTTGAAACACCCGTAGCTAGTCAGGCCCCTGTAGTTAGGGAACAAGGTAACATAGGGCCCACTTGCTCTCCCTCAGCGGAATGTGCCGAGCAGCCAGGGAAACAGGCTGGCTGGCAGGGTGACGGTGAGGAGGAAGCATAGTCCTAAACACAAGCCCCAGGTACACCACCAACCCGTTCATGTGTCTAACCGTTTTTCCCCACTCGGCGACACACCCGCCGGGGGTCAAACTCTGGTAATTGGTGATTCTGTTCTCAGACATGTGAAGCTAGAGACACCTGCAACCATAGTCAGATGTCTTCCAGGGGCCAGAGTAGGCGACATTGAAGGAAATTTAAAACTGCTGGCTAAGGCTGTAGATAATATTACATCTGTGGGATGATTATTGGTAATTTTTTCTCTAGTGATAAAAATTTTATTTGTGAAGAAGTTCATGAAGTCATTACTAGTTAACGTTAAAGGGATGGTTGGCTTAGGCTGCTGCCCCCGCGACCCGGCC